AGAGTCCTATGTAGTCACCTCATAGTTAGTGCATATTTGTGTATGTGTACTGTGTTGTTCTTTGTGTGCTGATGAAGGCTAATCGCCGAACGTCCTTTGTTGGTTTATTGTAATCGATTTTGTAAGTTGACATAAACTAATTGTTCTTTCTTACCCCCTTTTCTCTTTACTATAATTTCCTACCCAAAAAACATACACAAACAACAAAATTCTGCCCAAACATCTCCACCAGTAGTTTCATCACGTGTTTCTCCAACCCCCCAGCTCTGTCCCTCGATATCCTTGAACATCAGCACCGTGCGTGTGGGTGCCTGACTCTTGCATCTCTGCATCTCTGGGTGCCTGGATAGTTTCCTTCCATTCCTGTCGTCAGGCAGCGCCCAGGAAGATTCTCACGTCCGATTAGATTTAGCGATATCTTCTCCCCGTTAAACCGAAATTATGTAAATGATCCTCTATGTCATGGCGCTTGAATGAAAACGAGGCCGCTCGACGCCAACTGTACTCCTCGCGTGTTGTCAGTTTTGACCGCCATTGTTGCCGATGAATTTTGTATTTCATATTTGCTGTATTCTTTTTATTGTATTTTTTTTTCCCAACTGCCATGAATTTTCGGCATCTTTATAAATGCAAAGCAAAATCCGGATTGAGTTTTGTGAAGACTCGTCCCCCATTGAGAGCTGATTTATTTATGAAGATATGAGCATACACTAGATGCACATAGGGTTTAGGTTTAGACGACAAATCAATACCATGACACAAGGGTAGTAACCCATAAGTGCTCCGTTCTACTTCTGACTCAAGCCTGAGTCCGAAGAATCTCAGCGCAGTGCACGAACTCCGTAGCACCGGCGAGGATGCTAAAATACGTTGGGTAAACTTTTAACTCTTTTTTTCGAATTCCAAGTGCCAAGTGATTCTTTTACGTGCGAACAGGGGTCCGGTTACTACACAGAGACTAGGGGAAATTACTAAAAGTCACCGCTTTTGCAGCCTAGCTGTATACCACATATCCGAGCGAAAGGCACAGATATCGCAGCCTAGCTGTAAACCACAACACAACGTGCCAACCGCCCTTCAAGGGGCTAAAAAATTTATCACCGGCGGGGAATGGTTCACCGGTCTTCCCCGTGACAGGCGGGATACTTATAACTATACTACCGACAACTCGAAAGTTTGGTTCAAAGGAAATAATACAATAACGCGAAGCATAGTTCCTACTGTTCCTATTCTATATGTATAACTATATGACCTCATAAGGCTCTACATGGGTACATTGGGTTTTTTTAAATTGTGAATAATTTGGAACCGGTATTCGGAAAAGTTCCAACCTTCATTGTAGACAAGGGATGCGATAATTTTTTTTTAAGTTGCAAACTGTGAACGTTGAAGAAAGCAGAAAGGAAGAAAGGAAAAAAAAAGAAAGAAAGACTGAAAGAAAGAAAAACAAAAACACGGTGGAAAACGCAATGCCAAGTGGAAAAAAAAAGTGGGGGGGGGGGGGGGGGGGTTGCAAACCCACAGGAGGTACCACACCCCCCCCCCCCCCCCAACACATGAAAGGGAGTCGAGCAGGTTGGACAACTCCAACAAGAGACCCCAGTACGTGACAGCCAGCCCCGACACTCGAGATGGCTTCACAAGCCAGGTCCCACAGAGACCTGACTGATAAAGTTACACTATAGCGACCCTACAACATGTTCTAGTTTCCATGGAACACCACAGGGAACACTGGGTGAAAAAATGTATCAGCGATATCTGAAATCAAAGTTGAATCCTTTTTTTTTTTTTGTGAACTTTGTTCCGATAGTTTCATTACGTGACTTGAACGGCACGAATCTGTAAGGTATAGTAAATATTTTTGTTTTAAAAAAAAATGGCTGTAGTCCGAAAAAAAAGGGGAGCCTTGTGGTTCAAAATGTTCCCATGTGGATTTAGGGGCTTTATTTAGGGGAAGTAGAATAGACCCCGTCGGCTCTGTGGCTAAGTCGGTGCGAACGCCTCGTAATGCCGGGATGCCGGGTTCGATCCCAGCTGCGGGCCATGCGCCTTGCGTTGGTTTTGACAGTGGTATCAGGGGGTAGACCATCCAGAAAGCAATGGCAAACTACTGGACGTAAATTTGCCTTGAAAAACCACCCAACAGCCAGGGGCAAAAATCCAGACAATCCTCCTCACCCGTTCCTCCGCAGCGAGGCATGCCATTCTGCACGAAGCATGCCTGTCCTGATCTTCCTCCGCATGCGGTTTGAACAACGGATCAACATCATAGCACACGGGTAGTTACTCATAATTTCTCCGTTCCTCTTCTAATTCAAGTCTGAGTCCAAAGAAGCTTAGCACAGTGCACAAGCTCTATAGCACCGGCGAGGATCCTGAAATACTTTGGGTAGATTTTCAACTGCAAATTTTTGCACTGGCGGCACTGTTAGGCTAACTTTTTGATTTCCAACTGCCAAGGGATTTTTACGTGTGCAACAATACACACGGGCGCCCGATCTCACTACACAGAAACCAGGGGAAATCACTAGAAGTACAAGTCCACATTAAAAAATCCCAGCCCTTACGGGGGATTGAACCTGGAACCTCTAGCACTCGAGTCAGGACACCGTGTCTCGAGACACCCAGCCCTCTGGTTCATACCTCAAGGTACATAATTCGTGTATGAATATTTTCCGGAAGAAGATGAATAAATGAAAGATTTTTGCATTAAAAAAAAAATTTCATTGAAAATTGTACCTAGTGCAGTTTTTAAGGCAAAAAATAATTTAAGACCACATCTGAATTTCTGTAAAAAAAAAGTATTAAAACAATTCACATCGATGAAGTCAAACCCAAAACACTTGGGTCGGCTCTCCTGCGTTTAGTGTCTACACCACCTCGGCTAGCAAGAACTTATTCCTTTCCTATGCAATAAACACCTTCAGTGATGAACTTTGCCTGCTTTCTATTGTGCTTACTTTTGGGAACACTGCCTTTTCATTCGACAGGAACACAAGATAAAACAAGTCAGCGGGCGGCTCTAAGCTTTAGGACAAACTACAAAAGAAATATAAAATAGAACCCTCCCCAAACACATTCCGTCAACTCAAAGTTGATGACAGCGAAAAGGAGAATGGTTTCTGGAAGATGCGACATTTTTCATATGTAGATTGGTTTCTGGGAGATGTGACATTTTTCATATGTAGATACCTAAGAACAGAAGGAGAATAGAAGGAGACTCAAAGACCGGGTGGGGAAGAGTGTCACCGGAGGCCAGGTCGCCTGCAGCGTAGAAGATTAGCATGTCAAAGGGAGGCTCCATGGAGCGCGGGAGTCGTTGCGATGTTGAGAAACTTGATTTCTTACCTTTCACCGGAAACAGAGATAACAGTGCGCATTGTTCGTTATTTTATATGCGTGTGTACGTGTGTGTGTGTGTGTGTGTGTTTGGCAGCTAAATGCTTATGCAAACCTACCTGATTCGTTGGACATTTGATATTAGCGTGAAAATCATCATAGATAAGCAATATTAATACAAAATAAGCAATATACCAAAGATAAATAAACATGATCAAAATTTGACGTGCTCCTTCGTTTCTATCACCAGAAGTTGGCGCATTGTCTGTCACTTTTGTGTAACACAGTGATTTGCAAACTGTGCGCCGCGGCACCCCGGTGGCCGCCACCTCAATCAAGACATGAATAGTTATACTTTACTTAGGCTAGGGCGCAGTGGAAAAAATTTTAATTGACAAAAGGTGCCGCGACCAAGAACAGTTTGGGAAACACTGGTGTAATATATGGGTCGTTTTTTGTGTCATCAGTATGTGACATTTGGGTCGTTATTTCTGTCATCAGTGTGTAACATATAGGTCGTTATTTGTGTCATCAATATGTGACATTTGGGTCGTTATTTCAGTCATCAGTGTGTAACATATGGGTCGTTATTTGTGTCATCAATATGTGACATTTGGGTCGTTATTTCTGTCATCAGTGTGTAATATATGGGTCGTTATTTCTGTCATCAATGTGTAATATATGGGTTGTTATTTCTGTCATCAGTGTGTAACATATGGGTCGTTATTTGTGTCATCAGTATGTGACATTTGGGTCGTTATTTCTATCATCGGTGTGTAATAAATGGGTCGTTATTTCTATCATCGGTGTGTAATAAATGGGTCGTTATTTCTATCATCGGTGTGTAATATATGGGTCGGTATTTCTGTCATCGGTGTGTAAAAAAAAATCATCCTTATGTATCACGGTCGTTATTTCTCTCATCTGTTTGTAACAGATACTCCGTTACGTCTTTTATCACTATGTGACGTACGGGTCGTTATTTCTTAGTCAATATTTGACAAATGATACGTTATTTATGTTACCACTATACAATGATGAGCCGGTATTTCTAACAAAGTATTTAACGAATTATACGTTATTTCTGTCAGCAGTATTCAACAAATGATAATTTTTGTTTCTTTCACCAGTATAAGAAAAAGGATACAACGCATGACACCTCATTTCCATCACCAGTATTTAACAAATGAAACCTCATATCTCTTATCGGTATTTAACAAAGGACCCCTCATTTCCATCGTCAGAAATTCTACAAATGACACCTCATTTCCGTCATCAGTTAATTTAACTAATGAAATCGTATTTCCATCATCAGTATGCAACAAATGACACCTCATTTTCATCATCAGAAATTCTACAAATGACACCTCATTTTCATCATCAGAAATTCAACAAATGACACCTCATTTCCATCATCAGTATTTAACAAAGGACCCCTCATTTTCATCATCAGAAATTCTACAAATGACACCTCATTTCCATGGTCAGAAATTCTACAAATGACACCTCAGTATACTATAATTCTACAAATGACCCCTCATTTCCATCACTAGTATTTTATAAATGGACCCCTCATTTCCATCACTAGTATACTATAGATGACACCTTATGTTTCCCATTATCATTTTTTGACATAAGTTCGGTTATTTCTGTCTCCCTAGACAACGGTGCCGACTTCTACCCCAGTTACCAAGGCTACGGTGAATTCTTCATGGGCCAGCCCCAGGACGGGCCCCCACCAGGCCTGACGTTCCTGCCGCCATCACAGGGTACCCCGCCACTCAACATGGACGGGTCGATGCACCCGGCAGGTATGTAGCAAAGTTGTCACCGTCTGTGTGTCACTGTTCTTTCTTCTCACAGCTTCTGCCGAGTGGCAAGGACGCCGGAACCTGCAGGCTTGGGTGCCGGAACTTGAAAAAAAAAAGGGGGGGGGGGGGGTTACGTGCTGACTTGGATGAAGAAATCCGAGGGCTTGGGTGTCGGAACCTTGGACCCCCCCCCCCCCCCCTTTTCCCAACTTTTCCTCAACTTGCATTCTTCTTCCTCTTACCACCACTCACTAACATAAATGTTTGGCTGTTCGCCCATTTCTCAACTTTCGTCTTGTTTCAGATCGTGGGTTTTGCAGTTCACGCCTGCTTTAAAAACAGAAATAGGTTATCTGTATACATTTACTGGTTCCTGGTATGGCAGCAGATGCATTCTGACTTCAAAGGAAACGACCCTAGTTAGTCGCCTTGTATGATATCCTTGTGTGGGGTGGGGTTTTGGAGAGGGGTGGGGGGGGAGCGTAAAGTCGGTCTAGACTCCCCCCCCCCCCCCTGACATTAGGCCCCTCTCCCCCCCCCCCCCCCGAAACCCACAGAAAAAACTCCAGTATGTAAAGAGAGAAAGACTAAACTGCCTTTCCCCACATCTCTTTGCATTAATATACTGTAACATTTCTGGTTTCCCTGTGTATGTGTTAGGGCCGCATTAGGAAAGTGAAGTGGGGGGGGGGGGGGGGGGGGGGAGAGGTGATCTGCTGCTCCCAAACAAGTAGTTCTTGAAAGCGTCTACTAATTAGGAATGTTTACTTCAAAGTCGGGGTGCAAGGCAAGAAACTTAACAGTCTGCAGCATTATCTGTAAAACTGACGTGCACGCAAAACTCAAATTCTTTAACAGGACTAAAGTCCAGAAAATGACGAACATCTGAAACTTTGAAAGAAGAAGAAGAAGAAAAAGAAGAAGAGGAAGAAGAAAAAGAGTAGGAAGAAGAAGAAGAAGAAGAAGAAGAAGAAAAAGAGTAGGAAGAAGAAGAAGAAGAAGAAGAAGAAGAAGAAGAAGAAGAAGAAGAAGAAGAAGAAGAAGAAGAATAAGAAGAAGAGGAAGAAGAAGAGGAAGAAGAAGAAAAGAAGAAAAAGAAGAAGAGCAACAATAAAACAACAAGAAAAAGTAAACCACTATTAAGTCAGTACGTAAATATTGACCTTTCCAATATGGGATCAGCACCATATATCTAACAGATTTCATAGCGTGTTAATTTATCCTGTGCATAATTTCTGTTAATTTTCAGGGATAGTTTTTGTTAGGATAATTTCTTTTAACATGTATGTTCTGATCTTGAAATGGCTGCTTGTAAGTAAATTAAATACACTAAAAACATTTTTGTTTACTTTCATTTGATAACATTTCAAACTAGGATAAATTGCAAGACAAGCTAAATGAGTTTCTACATCAGAATCTTATAAAAGACACTATACGATGCACTAAGGATGTGAGACAAAACATGTTATAAGAGCGAGAGACAAAAAATGTTTGCAATGAATGACAAAGACAATAAAGAATGCAACAGAAATAACGGTCAGACCGTAACGAGGGCGCTTGGAGGGGCTCAGAATTCTGAAAGAGGAGGGAAAAGGGGGGGGGGACTATCAGAGATAACATACTGTCATTTCTGGGCTCTGAGCCAGTAGGGACCCCCATATCGGTTTTCGAAGACATCGTCAATCCAGGGACGTCTGATTCTTCCGGAGTAATGTCCCCCTCTAGGGTCGGCTCACACGCATTCTGGGGGTTACAGGAGGCTGAGGGATTTCACCTCGCCGCTCGTGCACTGAGTTAGCCTGTCATATCTTTGCCCAGAAAATGGCCAGCGGACCGCTCTCACATCTCCGGGTTTGAGCAGTGCGCGATTTATCTCTCTTCAGGGATAATCGCCTGGGATGCGCATTCTAAGGGAAGCAACTTCCGTAATTTTCCTCAGCGTTAATCAGAAATCGTCAGATGCGCAGATTTCGGCTGCTGATACCCACGGAGGAGACAGCCTTACCGTGCTTGCATGCGTCCTGTTTCTTGGAATTTAGTGTTTTCTGGGCTCTTGTAACGACATTATGAAGAGGCAGACGGTAGAACTTCAACGCAGTAGACGCGTCAATAAAAAAAATACGTTTGCATATAAATCTCATTCCTTATAGCAGTTTGCTCACATATTTTATCTTAGTTTTCTTCTCATTTTTGTTTCACCCAATCTAGGGAGTTTCGAGATTTCGTAGGGAATTTCTGGAAAATTCCAATTTTATAGGGGAGTTAGAATTGGTGTAAATAGGGTGCTAAAATGGTACATAAAACCTGTTCTGCTGTACGGCAGCGAATCTTGGAATGTCAGTGAACATATTAGGAAGAATTTTGAAGCAACAGAGATGTGGTTTCTGAGACGAATGTTACGAATACCTTGGACGGTCAAAGTAACTAACAACGATTGCTTGAAAGAAGCTAATGAAAGTAGATCACTATGTACAAGAATAAGAAAAAGACAACACTATTCTTTGGAAACGTAATGAGAAGAGATACATTAGAGAACATCGTGACAACTGGAAAGAATCAGTGGAAAAAGGGGCGTAGAGGCAGACCAAAAGAGCTGATACTGGATGAGCTGAATCGTTGGCATTGAGGGATATCATCAAGAGAGCTATTTCAGAAAACCAGGGATCGTGATTTGTGGAGACGCATGAGCGCCTACGCCAGTTAGCATGGCACATGATGATGAGGGTTAGTGTTAGTTAACGTCCATTTCGCACAGTAAAACGCCTAAACTATCGGACTTTTGCGGTAATTCCTACACGAAATCTCGCAGTCCTAAAGGGTGAAATAAAATTCAAGAACCGTTCTCTTTGCCTGTGTGGCTGAAAGATTGGGAATGTTGTCTCACAATTTCGACATAACGGGGTTCGAAATCTCCTTCTTCTCCTTTGCGTTACCGGCTGTAAACTCTGGCAAAAGGGTTATGGTTGTTCACCCCCCTCTGGAATTTGGACTTGTTCCAGAATCTAGTTCTACAAATCTGACTTATGTGTATGCAAACTGTTGGTTCCTTGCCTCTCAGGCAGATGCACCTTGCCTTTGAAGGAAGCCTCCAATAATTCGACTCTTACGACATGCTTGGTGAGGGAGGCAATGGGTCTATTCTTGCTTTTGCCTAACCATGGGACTCCGAAACCACATAGGGAGGGATTTAAAGTAAGCTGCAGGCAATCAGGTAGCAAGTGCATGGTGTTTTCTATCATTCCTCAGGTTTTCTTTATCCTCGGCATTCGACCTTAAAAGGGCGGTTAACGATGTGTTGTGGTTTCCGTGACGAGCCATGCATGTCATAACTGCAATCAGTGCTCACACTTTCTACTTGCTAAAGAAAGATACATTATCATACTATTTATTATTACTGATTACTATTTATTACAAATACGCCCCTCGACTTACGTCTCGAAAAGAGCGAAAAGAACGCTCGCTGTATGCTTATACCACCCACGCAGAGACTAAGTTGTGAATTCTACTGGTTACTAAAACTATGAGGCCAGCTGTGCACATATACTCTCAACTTTGAAGCGATGAGGATAAAAATGTCACGTAATACCCTTTCCGTATATATATATATATATATATATATATATATATATATATATATATATATATATTATATATATATATATATATATATATATATAGACACTAACTTCGCCTAGAAAAGATTCCTTCTAATCATCTGTCAGCCTGTCGGAAAACATGTTCATCCCCGTAGCGGTAAACTTCAGTGACTTCAGTCTCATACCAGAACTACAATTTTCCACGCAGACCTGTTTTACATATCTGGCTTATCTTGTATGCAGACTGTTTGATCCACCCCGCTACGGTAGATGCGGTTCTACTTTAGATAAACAATCACTAATTAGACACCATTTACAACATGCTTGTTAGGAAGGCAGTGGGTCCCCACCCCGCCCGCCCCCCCCCCCCCCGCTCCCACTCCCCACTCTCCCGCCGCCTCCGTCGTCGCAAATAGGGTCACGGAGTTCACACGGGAGGTAGCCAGTCACACCACATCTCTCCATATTTTCCTTTCCCTCCCTTCCTCTTTCTATCTCATTTTCTTTGTCTACCTTTCTCTCTCTCTCTCTCTCTCTCTCTCTCTCTCTCTCTCTCTCTCTCTCTCTCTCTCTCTCTCTCTCTCTCTTTCTTTCTCTCTCTCTCTCAACATAGCATGCTTTATTGTTAAAATACAACTGCCGTGTGAAAGATTAGTGCTTGGAAGGGTCAATTGTAAGATGGGCTGCGTGCCCAATACGCGCTTTGAAAATAAAGTTGGTTCGTTTCTTTTTCGTTCGATCGCTGTCTTATTTATATATATATATATATATATATATATATATATATATATATATATATATATATATATATATATATATATATATATACATAAATGACAATCTGGTAAGCGAAATTGAGGAACAGAAGGACATAGAAAGACAGGAGATTGCCTGTATTTTCAGGGATGAAACTTGTCTGGACTGTTCATCTCCTGGAGTGATTTTCTTCAGTTCTTCAGGACTCGCCCTGGGAACTCGCGCCCCGATCATCTATCAACGAGGCTGAGGGGCCAGGGAAGTTATTTCAACTAGTGCCAGGCAACTCGAATCCTTGGCCCCAGGGACGCGAGCCACATCGATTTTCTCCCTGCTTGCCATCTGGAAGGGGCTCACAAGTCGTGCGAGGCTTTCTTTGACAGGGCAAGTTTTATAATCATCTGTCGATTACGAATCTTTTAAATCGGTTTGTAGTGGACTGTGTCTTCCATGGAAGAATATCTCTTCGTGGGTTCAGAGGATTGTGGACGCGACTAGAAGTCAATGACATGATAGACGTAGCCAAATAATAGTGAATTTATAAATATTGGCTAGCTTATTAGTACTTTTGCTTAGTGTTGTTGGTGTTGTTGTTTTCTTCTTCTTCTTCTTCTTCTTCTTCTTCTTCTTCTTCTTCTTCTTCTTCTT